TAAATTAAAAACTCATTTTAAACTACGAAAATTATTAATACCATTGTATCACAGTATCAAGCCATTAAGTTCGGAAGAATATTAGTATTATCAAACATTTGTCCAGGCCATTTTTTGTTTCAAATTCAGTTTAAAAAGTACAAGAGGAGAAAATCCAGTTTTATTTTATTCTTTCTAATATTTAAATCATTAAAAAAAAAAATAATTCAGCCATCCAATTAAAAAACAAAAAAATAATAATTATAATAGAACGAACACATTTAAAATTCACTGAAAATTGAAATACGATCGTTGTGATTAGAAAAAGACAAACGAATGGTCACATTGGGTAATCATTATTAAAAATTAAATAAATTACAAACAACGTAGAAAAATGTAATCCTTTTTTATTTTTTAAATACTACTAGAAAACATTCATATTAATTCTTTATCGTTAGTTTTCTCCTAGAGACGATTTCTATTTCATTCTTTACCGTTGAAAAAAATTGATTGTTTTCCAGTGATGTACCTTGTGTAAGTGTAGCTGCTTACCGCTTAAAATTAATCCTTTTATCCGAATTAAAGTTCTTAGTCCCTTATTAATTATATGCTAATATGATAATGTAAGCGCGTGGGGTAATAATTATTAATAATGTACACGAAAACAAATACTGCTAAAATAAACAAATAGATTTTTCTGCACTGGATTCACAGTTAGTGTATTTATTATTTATATAATAGATACTCGTACTGCATTCGTAACCTAACACTCGTTTAAATGATTTATCACAAGAGTGGGTATAGTTCAAAAGTTAGACAGTATAAAATATATTTTATACGCCCTACGCTGTGTGTATTCTATGGTACCACACCTTCGTCGTCGTTTATAAATCAGTACGGTATAAAACAACAAAATTGTGCAGTAAACTTTATAAATATATTTTATTCAAAAAAAAAAAAAATTCAAGTTTAAGTGTGTTTAAAAGGCCCAGGTTTAAATCTGTAGTTACCGAATATTTATAGATATAGTATAATAAAACCAATTATGTACATATCAAGATACTAAAATGCTCATGTGTTATAATTTAATAAATATGATATTATTTGACAACTGGGTTCTAAAATTGCATGAATCTTTTATTTTTGACATATTTCACGAAAGCTGCATGAAATATTTTATTTTAATAAATCAAAAAAAAAGGTAGTCATCCATTTAGGCATTGAACGATATACTTAACAGAATTAACAAATATTTAGAAACAAAAGTTGTTTTTATTTTCCGTCGGTACTATATAAACTAATAAATAATAACACTCATCCATTTAGTCAATCTATAGGTAGGAAACGATTTTTGTGTCACGATTCCATTTCAAGGAAAACCAACACGAATTAACTGTCGCCATTTACTGGCGTGATTGCAACGGACCGAAAAGCGTGCTGAACGCATCTGGCGGTGACGGCAATGACGTCGAATGATCGGAGGCGGGCGAAAAATAATTGCTAGACGTCTAATATAATTATATAATTATTTGAAACAATAATTAACATTTGGCAATTTCCGAAATACCGTTTTGTGACGATTCCGTGTCGAAATTGCAGATTCGCCGAATGAAACGTTTTCAGTGAAAGGAAGAGGAGGTTGTGGTAACGTTGCCACACTCTCCTCTGAATTCTTGGACGATAATAATATTAATGTAATAATTATAACTGTCGGCGTATTCCGCCGTCCGAGCCAAATTTTCGATGAATTCTGTGTAGTCGGCAATTTTAAAAGAACTCAACTCCCCCCCCCCTTCCAGCCGTGATTATATAGTCCCTACAAGATCGTATCGAATGTACCGAAGGTTTTACATCTAATACATTTGTATATTTTATAATATCCGGAAAGATTCGCACGATATTATAAACATCTGCAATATATTTTTTTTTTTTATAGTGTCTGCAATACTATACTGTACGTACACACATATTATTATTATAATATAAAAAATGCACATTTTTGAACTGGTAAAGTATTTTATTACGAAAATGTAAATTTATTCGGAAATATAAAAACGTTATCCGCGTACTATATACGAAGAACGAACGTCGTATAATATCGTATACCGCGCGGGGTAGTTTTCAAACGATTTCCATTGGGTTCGGGCCATAATACTATTTACTGCTAAATTTACACGTTTAATATTATATCTTATACAGATTGCGAGTAGGTACGCGTGTTGCCGTTATTGAGATTATTCGTCCCTTTTTAGAAGCGGACGCAGGGGCAAATTCAAGAATTAATCGGAGAAGGTAGGGGTGGCGGTAAAAATAATGTATCAAATACCAAATTTTGACTTATTCCATTAGACAGAACCTATTTATATCCCTATATAAATAGGTACTGGCCGTTATAGATCCCTATCTATAACATCAAATTCATTAAAAACTATATTATTATTACGGCATTTGACTTTCCGTAGTTCAACTTCGGACTTTTAAATGCTGTTTTTTAATATTTCCCCCATAAATTTGACTTTATTTGTTGAAGTTTTCGGTATAAATTGAGATATTTTATGCGGAAGTAAAGATGATTCCTATTTTTATAGAAATATTATTTTCATCAAATCTTTGGTTAAAATCTGAAATAATAGACTATGGACTCGGATGTACCTATATGTTTTAATAAGTGTTGTTTTATTGTCATTGTAACAATTCATTCTTGAATTCTATTGGAAAAAAATATTATTTCATCGTTTTATTCATTAGTGCTATTTCATATGATAATTGTATTATTTTTACCATAATATGATACTGGTAACCAAAGAAACAGAAATAGGAAGGAGAATTAAAACAATGTTTCAAAACTTACTAAACAACACCGCCGATGAACTCCAAATAAGCACTGGGTCGATAGAACCAGAAGAAAAGAAACCTAGTTTAGAAGAAATCGAAATGGCCATAGAAATGTTCGAAAATAATAAAACTGCCGGACTGCAGAAAGATCGACAATTGATCATATATATTATATATTCATGCTCAATCGACTGATAGAGAAATATTATAAATTCAATAAAAAACTACCTCTACTATTCGTAGATTTCAGACAAGCGTAGGACTCAGTAAAAATAGAAGCTTTATGGAAGCACTTAGAACTAATACACCAGTCAAGAATAATAATCAAAATGTGTATAGAAACGGCCAGATGTAAAGTTCGATTCGGACAAGCACATTCTAAATTGGTTTAAAACCATAGTTGGAGTAAAGCAAGAAGATGCACTATCTCCTATACTATTTAATATGGCTATGGGGGTGGTAGATCAAAGCACACATACTATATATAAAGGAATTGACGTCGGAAAATCAGTGTCAGTTCTAGCGTTTGCCGATGATACTGTGGTACTCGGGCAAACTGAAACCGATATAAAAACTAGCAACGGAAGAATTAATTCAAAGCGAAAAGATAATAGGATACGAAATAAACGAAAACGGCAACATGTATATCAAGAAATACGGAAATTACACATTATTTAAAAAGCACATAGTTTTAAATATCTAGATATAGAAGAAAAAAGACAAAATAACATTCATGAAGAGATAAAGAACGTGTTTTGGCAGGCAATGAGTGCGGGGTACCTCTTATACCACGACCCGTAGTACAGTGAAGTCATACTGAATTTTACGTATTTTTTTTAATTTACAATGCATTTTTGCGTAGTCGTCGTCGTTCCCCTCGGGCCGTGGAATCGATCAACGATATTTACACGTGCCCCTGATAAGTCGGCTGTCGCTAAGAAACCGACGAAATGACCAAATAAATAAATATATAAAAACCCCGGCACACACGAAGGAAAAAATTCTTGCTGCCGGCTTATATCCAGAGTGTAATAATGTGTACACACCCAGGTTCGAGATCGCGTTTGGCTTAAGGTCGAACGTTTGGGAACCCGGCCGCCGCTCGGCACCTCGAAACTACGCCAGATGCAGTGCGTACGCCGGTATTGCGTAATATTACGATAAATACATTTTTTTTTTTTTTTTTTTTTATATATTTATTTAAGAAAATTTACAATCTATATACAAGTTAATATAATAAGTAAATGTGTTGACAGTTACTAGACCTGAACACTTGAGGGAAGGGAATGTACAGTGACACTACTTCCAATTAAACTTGGGGGTAGATAACTTTATAAAAGTACTAATCATTGTTTAATAAATTACGTGGCCATTTGCGTTTGAGACGACGGGGAGGGTTGTTAGGAACAAGAAGAGAGTTTGGATATGAGCGGGTTTGAATGGTTAAAGGTGTTTTTATGGAATTTGTTATAGTGATGAGAGACAAGTGAGGAAATTGGCGGTATATTGAGGTCTTGGTGTAGAGTGCGGTTGCTGACGCACCAGGAAGTATTAGATAGGACACGGAGAGATATAGATTGGAATGCTTGGAATTAGATTAAGTTCGAGTTTTTCGAGGTACCCCACAGTTGGATTCCATATGTCAATGCGGGACATAAGATCTGTTTGTAAATTAGTGTTTTATTATTAAGGGAGACTTTGGATCGGAGAAGTGGTCTTAATTTGTGAAGTCTGAGGTTAAGAGAAGTTCTTTTAGCTTTGATGTGGTTAGCCCAAGTTAGTCTTTTGTCAAGAAAGAGACCTAAATATTTAACGGAATAGTCCATTGGAATTTTTTGATTGTTCATGTAAACGGGAGGAATGGTAGTAGGCCTGAGGGTAAAGGTAATGTGAGTGGATTTATTTTCGTTAACTTTAATTTTCCATAAGCTGAACCAGNCGGTGAAAGGATACTGCCTTGAGGGACACCTGCTTTTATAGGATGCGAGTCAGAAGTTACGTCTTCACATCTTACTGTAAAAGTACGGTTTGATAGGAAAGATTTAAGTAAGAGGAATAACGGGGTGGGTAAGAATAACAATTTAAATAATAGCCCTTCGTGCCATACCCTATCAAACGCCTGGGCAATCGCCTGTAGCAACGATAAATACATTATGTATATATAATATTATGCGTAAAAGTGCCGTTCAGTCCTGAATTACCTCGTGTTCGGACGTGTTGTCGTAGTCTTCATCGGACGTGCTAAACGCGTTTGACGCGGTTTCGTCTTGTTCGCTAACCTTTGGCCTTGACGTCGTATGAGAACCGACAGTGAATCTCGGCACCGTATACAGCAGGTCCAACTGATCGGCCGGCACTTGGAACACAGCCCCGTGTGCCCGGAACGAAGGGCTGCCGACCGGGAAACTGGAGGGCAGCGGGAAAACGGTGTTGGTGGCGCGGTCGTCGACGACCAGATAGTTTCCGGCCTTGCCGTAGATCTTGTTCCGCCGTCGCGGCCACCTCCTCTTCTGACATCCCCGCTGACCGTTGCCGCCGTCACAGCCGTACGGCGAAATGCACACGCTGTGGGCCTGGTCTGTCCGCGTCGCGCACGTCGGTTGCGGCGTCACGGTTGGGCTGCGTAGCTTCGTGTAAATGTACCCGATCGTGGACCGGCTGAACGGCCGAATCATGTCCACGTTGAAGGCCGTCCGGACGGTCGTTTTTTTGGCGTCGTACCGCCGCCGTGTGGTCCGCGGTCTCGCCTTACGTTGCGCTGGCTGTGGCCGTGTAAACGTGTCTGACGTACGCGACGGTGGTGGTTTCTTGGAGGACGACGACAGCGGTTTGCGCTTTTTTGAAGACGTTTTCTGCGGCTTTGACGTCGATGTCCGCGGGCTTACAGCGAGTGACGATTTGTGGGTCGACATTCCGGGTTTCGGAGACGAGGGCTTCCATATTTTTACTCTGCGCGCCGAAATCGTCTCCGGGGATTTCGCTAACGTTGTGGTCGACACGTGTGCGCTCTGTACGCCAGTCCACGTCTGACATGAAAAACTCGCGATGACAATAATTATTATTAACATGATTTTTAATGACGTTTTAAAAATGTTACTTTTAAATCTTTTATTAAAAATACTACTTTTAAAACGGCGTTGATTCCGAGATTACTAACATTACTAACGCGACGAATAAAATAAACTCTAATATTTTCGTTATTCGTTGCGTGTATACGGCCAGATATTAAAAAAATATTAATTTCAACTTGAATGTTACCGCCTGATTGTGTGACGATCGTCAATTTTCGTCATCGGCGATGAAATAATTTTTGAAATTTATAGAATAGATTTGTACTAAACGCGTAGAATATGTTTAGACTATATAATATGATGGTTTCAACTAGGTCCGTCGAAAAACGACCAGCTACGAACGAACAACGATGGATGCTTAAGTGTAAACCTTTATAACAATATCTTTTCGGTTTAAATATAGCACTCTTAGGGCTCGTCCGAATACTTCGCGTTTTGTTAAAAAACAACAGAACACGTAAAAAAAAAAAAATAAATAAATACATACTTTGCACGTGGGTGAAGCTACTGTTGTAGGTGGGAAGTTGGGAAGGTATTCGATACAGAAGAGAATTTTATACATATCTGTAAGCAACGATAAACCATTGTTAATGAAAAAACACCAAATGTATTTTATACTAATACTCCATCTATTTATGAGCAATCGAAAATATCGGCTTTAACTACACTTACAAATTCCAAAAACCAGAGTTCGAATAAATGAAAAGTTTAACGAAAAAAAAAAATGGGTTAAACACACTTAATGAATCTTCCTGTACAATGTACTCACGGTCTTAAAATTTTTACAGTAATTTAAAATATTCACAATATCAATAGCTACGTATTTATGTTTGAAATTTCTTCTGGCCACGATCACACGATCGGTCCATACGTTAATCGACCCGCCAAGAAATTCCCCGGGTAGTTTGCCAAACCCATCTGGCCTGATTATAAAACCAATCACAGTCATTTATATAGATAATATTGTTTAGAATTTTTAGATTTTACGCATAATATCATAACATTGTTTTGTTTTCATATCTGTGATGGAATAGAAAGTCGAACAATTTGTACGCTTCCTTTGTGGCCATATGCTTTCTTAAAATACCATGCTATAATATTAAATATTATAATATATTTCAAAGTATTCTAATTATTCGCATTCACTCGATCGCACGTAAAATGTCAAAACTGTTCGTAAATATTAATTTAACCGGTTAGTTACAAAATTACGTGTTACTGTATATAGCCTACACGGGAGTGTGTAAAATGCTCGGATACTATTTATATATAATGCCGGAATAAATCACATCACGTGTACGATATTTATATGCGTTAAGCAGAGTGGGATTAATAAAGTGTGCTCGTTTTCGTTTTGACGAGATTAGGGGAATAATAATATGGTTCATAAATGCATTATCGTATTTAGGACTTTGCCAAGAAGAGAGATATTGAACAAGGAAATTTTGTTATATTGTAACTATAACGTGTACCTACCGAAACTAAAATAAAAATCTGTCCTAGAATAACACGGACAGGTACAGCCACTGTTATAGGTACTTTCGTGCAACGCTTGCGAAAAAAAGGAGTCTGAGCGGAGTTCAGATGGTAGTGATGCTTTGCCAACAATATAATATATGTCATATTTTGGTAAAATAATTAAATAGGCATTATATGTTTTATTAAATAATACTTTTTTAATGTACCAATTTCTCCGTTTTTCCCGGTTTTTCACATTTGTTGAAAAACTCCTGGAAAAATCAACAAATGACTTCCTTAAAGTACCTTCCCCGTCATATTTACTTTCAGAAAAAATTACTTTCACTGTATACCGGAGCAAAATTCCTAGTAGAAAAGTTGTTCACAGGAAAAAAAGGTGGTAATTTTTTAAATTTATTTATCATTTTCCTTTCTACGCGCCAGATATTTCCCGACCATCCAATCATTGTGCTCTTCATTATCGTTATTATATCTCTTGAATTGTATACAATCGATTCAAAATATCATCGGTTCTGTGTTCATATTCGTTGATTTCTTAATTATTTTTGGTGCCAAGTATTTGTATTAATATTAACCTTCAAATAATGATGAGATTCTTTTATAGATTTTCGTTGAAGGTTACAGGCAAATAGTGCAATTGGTCTAATAAACACTTTATACATTATTGTTTTTCACTTTTTTAACAGTATTTCACATTAATTTAACAGTGGTTTTAGCATTCTAAAACGTCTATTTGATGTACTTATTCTTCTTTGTATACTTCATCGTGTCCACCACTGGTTGTATATATTCCTTTGCCAAAATACTTAAAGGTTTCCACCCTCTCAAATTTCATTTGTTCTATAGCTAAAACCATCTGATTGTGGACCCTACACATATAATATCATGTACTTTGTTTTGCCTTCGTTGATAAATTATACCATATCCTTACTTCTAACTATCAGGTCCAGTGTTGTCGGTTTTAGGTTGAGCTATTAATGGAGTAATTACTATAAATTATTTACTCTGATTTAGGTTCATTTGTTAATGTCAATATGGACATGGTGGAAAATCCACTAATGCCTCTGATATTATGGTACCATTAGATTTAGTAAATCGATACCAATGTAAAAATATACAGATGCGAGTGAGTTACTAGTGCCTGCTATAATTTATAAATAAATATATACATATTTTAACTTTAGTATATATTTTTTAATAGTAATATTTAATCAAAGTTTTCACAGGAACGCCCCGAACTTTAAGTCTGTGCGCTCCCGTGTATATATATATATATATTGAACTCATACATATATATTTAGATTTTGAGCATAGAGTGAACTGGTTTCATTATTTTTATTCTGTAAACAACTATTATGCCAGAAAGCTTGTTTCAGTCAAAAAATAACATAAAATCTTTTTTATTGCATTTTCGATCCAATAAGTGTATTATGAAAGTGATTTTTGATATTTCAAGAAGTTTTACTAATACTCAGGAAAGATGTAAAATAATATCCGACAATTTTACGGCGTAGTATTTTATTGTTTTACATTTTGACAATTTTTTTCTATCCGAAATCTTGCTCCAATCGAAAAATGATAATTGAAATTTTTTGTTAAACTTTTAATCTAGATAGTGATTAATAATGTTATTTTCATAATTGTTAAGAAGTTATTTTGATATTCGGGTAAAATTGTATGAAAAACAGAAAAGTTTACATTAATGGTTTCGTTATATTCGATTTTGGTTTCCTATAGGAAATAGATTAAAAATTATGGTTTGGTAATTGGAATTTTCACAACACACTTAGATTGAACTTTTCTAATCGTGTTAAAATTTTCAAAATAATTTGTCAATTTTTTTATATAATTTAAAATTGTTGACAAAATCTTGAAAATTAAAGCCTTTCGAAATATATATAACCAAACTTCGTTTAGAATTGTTCTTCGTTAGCAATGTTTTATAGTTGCTTACAGGTATTAATTAGTTAAATAATATAATCATATTGAGGACTAATATTGATTATTAGAGCAATAAGTGATCGTTAATTCATCAGTATTCGTGTTGGTGCACAGTATACATGTTTGCCTTTCATTTTTAATCCTTGAAGATCATGTCTAAAGTAAAAACCAAAGTATACAAATTACAGTATCAAACTGAATTGAAAGTATATTTTACAGATGAGAGAGTCGAATATTGCCTCATATATGAAAAACTGTGGTTTATTGGAAAAATAACTTAATGTAGATGAAGAATGTAGTTTTCCTTTGCATAAACATATTTTATAAAGTTTTAGAAGATATAATTGTAAAGAAGGAACATAATTTGGAAAATGATTCAATTATATCAATTATAATTTAAACAAATAATATTAATAATTTATTTTGTATTTAAGTTTTTATCATCTCCATCATCATCATGAAGCTTCAAAACTCTGCGATAGTTTTAGCCACCACTGAGTTCTCTAACTTCCTCGGTTCTGAACCATTTCGTAGCTTCCAATTTTTCGAGGTCTTGCCGTATGTCATCTATTCATCGTTTCTATGGTCTACCACTATGATCTTTTCCTTTTTGGTTTCCATTCAATAGCTTCTCTAGCTTTATTCGTTACCTCCAAATCACTTTAATCTTATTATCTCTTCACATAATTATTAATTACGGGTATATTTATCATTTCCTTTATTTCCGTGTTATTTTTTCTTCGTAAACCGTTTAACACGGTATCATATACGGGTCCATACATTGTTCTTAGCACTTTTTTCTCGATGACTCCTATTTTATTATACTAGAAAGTGCATTTATTTTGTAATTCGTGTGTGAGTTTAAATGAAATTAAATATGGTATTTAACAATTATAATAGAAGCCAAGAGGCTAAAAAAAAAATGTTAAAATATTCAAAATATTCGTTTAGTCATGAATTATGTGATAATATAAAAAAATATTTAAATTTTATCAGAAATTTGAAATTGATTCTATATTGGCATGGTCAATGTTTCATGGCGTGCCTACACAAATATTTCTAGGGGTAATCCATACAATATTTGACCTCTAAGTTTAAAGTTTTAAGTGACTGCTTATAATGTATTGCGTTCCTCTAATGGGAATCCATCTATATCGTACAATTAGTATTGTACCTTGATCATTTTGTCAGGTATAGTATTATAATTACGGATATCACCTTGATAATATTAATTTTCTCGCGTCCGATTGTTTTTGTTCATTTGTATTATTTAAAAAGATTTTATCCCAACTGTTAACGTTTTTAAAAGAAATATATATATATATATATATATAAATGACAATATAATATATTTGCATTTTGTACACTGCCAGATAAACCGCAGAACGTTTTAATATTATTGGCACGCGAAAACTATACCG